GCTGCAATCCTTCAATTCTTTCATATCTAAAGAGGACAGCAATCTCTGTTCTATCAGATCGCGTGGTTCGTGCTTTAAATGGTACTTGCTGCCAGCTTGCTTTCCCTGTCTCTCTCCCTTTGAAGCAGACTGGACAGCTTCCTCAAGCTGGCGTTATCACTCCCTCTAACCACTCTTGGCAGGCAATCTAATTCCCCCTGAAAAGGTCACCGCCATTTTAACTGCCTTTCAATCACATTAAGCACGCTGCCGCTCGTGCTCAGAGCACTGCGCCTGCAGCTCTCCTGACTGAGGTGCGATCGATAAACTGACATCCCGTCCCCCCACCCCACCCGCTTCTCGCCTTCTTCCCCTCTCCTGGACAAGCCCAGAATGGAGGGCAAGAAACCAAGTGACCAAATCCTCTCCTCAAGTCCAAAGCAACAGAAGGGAGCTGCTAACCTGGCATTTACTAATCTTCGTCCCATCTGCTAAGAAACAGAAGGGTGCAAGCATCCCCCCCCCTTCCCTAGACCTACAGAGGCAGCAACTTCACAGGACCGTTTGCTTAGGCACCGGTCCAGACACCTTTGAAGCTGTGTTACAAAGAACAAGCCTCCCTCAAGCTTCCCTCAATGCAATCATTACCGTTATCTCTCCCTCCACCCCCCCCTCTTTTTTTTCTGCAGTTACAAGTTATGTGTTCCACCCATCGATCCCTGTGTAAGACACTGTTTTAAGTCCTCTTGCCTTTTGACTGTGCTAAGCCGTTTAAGAGATGACAGCGGCTTCTATCAGTGCGAAGCTGATGTGATTCTTTTCAGATAAAGCACTTCTTTTTTTTTTCACTCCCCCCTCCCTTTCCCTTCTTTCAAGTAAGAGACATACACACAAAAAGAGACACTGAATCTTTCAAAGGGAAAAAAAAACCCTTTTGAACTTCCCTCAGGAATTCTTTAAAAGGATAACCTTACAGTGTAAACACTGAGGGTAACGTGCATCCATTCTGGAGAGGAACAGAAGAATTGCTACAAATATGTTGAGCATTAAAAGAAAACATCAGAGAGGGAGCCACTTGATGCTTTCACTTGCAAAGCCTTGCTGGCTTCCTAAACACAGAAACTCATTAGACAAAGATGGCATGAAATAATCCCCTGCAACAAAGAGCTTCAGAGAGGGATGACTCAGAGACATGGGGATGGATGGTTACTGAATGTTCAGGTATTTCAAGAGAAATTTTAGTCTTGTGACACTGGACTGAGGCAGGGAAATATTTTGTTATTATAACTGTATAGCTTTTCACTTTGAAGCACAAGCTTGATTCAAGCAGCACCTGGTGTTTCATGCTGGTAGCCTTCTGCACCTATCCTAAACAGAAGCAAGAACTCTCCTGCTACAAACCCCTACTTCAAGCAGAACCTCTGCTGAAACAAAGTGGTTCCAAATCCTAGATAACTGCCAATAATCTTCATTTACACCCTGCATTCTTCCAGTTTTGGGTCAGCAGATTAAGTGATAGAAATTATCTTTTAAGAAGCCAGGAGGACAGCTAGATGTACCAAGTATTTCCTGACTGAATGCCTCCATCAAACCCAACAGCTTAAGAGACAACATACTGATCCCTGCACTTCTCAGTTATGCTATGCTCCTGCTTGCTGCCATCTCCTGTCCTTTCCACCTGCTGCCTCAAGTGTGCCAAGCCATGTGCTTTGGCTCTGCTGCCCTAGACCTGACTGAGGATTTGCAGCTGTAACACAAATAAGGGCAACAGAATTTCCACCTTGTAAGCCAGCCTCATAGGTGACAGGAGCAAGATTTCCCTGCAAGAGCTCTGGAAGCAAGAAAGAGTCACCCGAGGAACCACATAAGTGAGAGTTTCAGCCTGTGATTGCTCCTAAGGATTAGACCACCTTCCAAAACATCGGAGCAGGGCTCTTCATTTCCCTGACCTTCCTGTTTTCAAGAAGAAAAAAAAAAACCCAACCTTATCCCACATGAGAGCCTGGCAGGATCTTTCATATAATTAGCAAAGAGTTTGCCTCACTTTTGAGAGCGATACGAACTTTGTACATTAATGAGAAATGATAAAAAGAAGAAGCCAGGACCTGTGTTAAGTCTGAGTCACTTCTGCAATGCTGCCCAATGGCCTGGCCGATTCATGCTGGCCACCGCATCCTGCTCGCCCTTCGCCCAGCTGCGACATCTCCTCAAAGCAGCACACCATTAAAACCAAAATTAATGAGACACACGGCCATCTATTTTCCCCTCTGGTTTTATGTATTTCCCCATGTCATCTCTTTAGACACCGGTGACATCCCTGTAGCCTGGCAAAGGCTGTCTGGCATTATAAAAGGCCTTCGATTTCCACATCACTGCTACTTCACAGCAAAGGGAACAGAGCCAAATACAAAGCCCCGGGTGACAGGGGTTAACGAGGGCCTTGCCAACTCCAGACAAAGCAGTTTTAAGCATTGGAAAGCATCTCCAAAACGTTGTGCTGTGCTTCAGGGCTTTAAATTAAGAATTCTGTCCCTAAAACAAGGCAAGAGCCAACACTGGCAGAGAAAGGGACAGTCACCTTTAAGGTTACCTGAGAGTGCACAAAGCAGGCCTGACTGATGGAGACCTCTCAACGCCAGCAGCCAGAAACAACATGAAAACCACAAAAGGGAGCATAAAAATGTGTAACTTGCTTAAAAGGAAACAAGAAGCAATCAGCCAACTATGGGAGATTCCAGCTTTGCTTTGGCAAATATTACAGAAACTTCTAGCAGAGTAAGTAGGTACCTTGCAGATATTAACTGGTCATCCCAAAATACTAGGTAGAAAGTTGGTGGCACAAAGCTCCCCTGCTTAGGGAAGAGGACACCTCTCTAGAGGTCCTCTGCTGTTGAATCTGCCCTAGCTGTTGAATCCAGCTGCCAGAAGAGTTGTGCTCCAGAGGAGGAAAGGCAGGGAGAACCATATGCACTAGGGACCTGCCAGCCCCTCAGGTGGAGTCACCTCTTCAGCAGTGGCTCTGCTACCAAAACCCGCACAAGGAGGGTGTTCTTCACAACAAATGCTACCAGGAGGTTCCTGTGCTTGCAAGCTGATCTACAGACATCTTTTCATCCAGCACCACAAAGGGAAAGTGTCTAATTCAAAAGCCTTCTCATCAGGGTAATTACAGAGGGTTTTAGAACCACGTCTAGTTGTGCTCTACTCTTCTGCTAGTCTTCTGATATCCCACAGTTTCTGATGGAAGCAGGGCTATTTCTAACTATGAAATACAGAAATACCTGTCCGTGCATGTGCAGCCATCTAGCTTAGGTAACAGCCCTGACTGATGCTAGAACCTGTCTAACTTCTGGTGGAGGAAAGCAGCTGATCTATACAACACAAACTAACCCTTTTGAGAATTCCTTAAAATAAGGAAGAAAATGCAAAAAAGAGCAAGTACTTTGCATTTACACAGCCTAATCACATCAATTAGACATTTTAACCACCTGAAGATTCATCTGAAAGAGCATCTCCATATAGCAGAAGCAATATGAAAGCTTCAGATCACACTTTTGAGTTAACTCAAGACCATCTGGGAACATTAACTAGGTGAAGGCAGCACAATATCCACACCAAAGGAGGTGGAATATTGTGCTTTCAAACTCAGATGTTTATTGGGGGTGAAGGAAGAAACCATGAATGAGCAAAAAGGGGCAGAAATTAACTGAGTAGCTTTATCTAATCAGGACTAGCAGTGACAACAATAGGAGCATGCAGACATCCCATGCTTCACTATGGATTGTAGTGACTCTACTACCTAAACATAGTCTAAGACCTTGCATAGTCTCATCAGGTCATGTACAGATGCAACTTTCCACGTGGGTACAAAAAACAGTTAAGGTAGGTACGGCTACAGACACAGCAAGTGACAGCGTGAGCTTCACTGGGAAGCCTTTAAAACCCAAAGAAGCTGGTCCTGCATCTCTGTGCTCCTGATCATCTGCTCTGCTACAACCCAGCTACAATTTAATTTCAGAGGAAGGTAAGAGCAGATCAGGAGTGCCAGGCCGTCACTGAGCACACAGCTGGCTTTTAAGTCCAACTCCTTATGTAGTAGCCTTTCCCCTTGAGATATTTTAAATTAAAATCCAAGCTGATATAAGAAGAGATCACATCCCATCCTCTTTATTGAACCGAGGGAGCCAGCGTTCCTCCTCTCATTAAGCATGCACTACGTGGATTGCTTGCAAGAGACTCTCCTTAGTGCCAGAGGTTCATGCCAATGAACAGTTTAGTAAATCCTCCTCTTCGAGGCCAAAGGGCTGAGTGTAAGAAAGGGGCCAGCTTTCTAGCTAAAATTACATTCACCAATAAAGCTCACGAGAGGTCAAATTTTGCCATAACTCACTCTCTCCACAGTAACTGATTTCCCCGTCACTGGGGAAGGAGCAAAAGAAGGAGGAAAAATAAAATGTGTTTGTCTGGGAGCCCTAAGGGCTTGCAGTGCTGCAGGTGCAGAGCAGGTTCCTGGATTCTCATTTATCAACCTTAAAAGGGATGGAGTGATAAATGCACAACTGGCCCTTTCATATTTTATGCAGGTGCTAAAGCGACTTAGCTGTCACCTTCAATACATCACCAGAGGCCGATACACCAGCTTTCGTCACTCCAGGCTGGGAATTTTTACAATTTCATTTCTATTTCCCTCTCTTCATATATTTCCACCTATTTCTTACTATGTGTAACATATAAGAAGCTATTTTCCCCAAATGATCTCCCCATTCTATCCAGTCCTACTCATTCCTTCAGACACATTTCTCAAGCAAGAAATAACACCACGCTTTTGTTCAACATTTGCACAAATTTTGACTCCCATCATTCAAGAGAGGCAGAAAGCTGGAATCACTTCACATTCTGGCAAAGGCTGAAGGTCCCACCCTTTGCGAAAGGCAAATCTCCAGCTCCCTCCCTTTAAAGACAGACAATGATCAATTTCCACAGCAGAATAATTTACAAGGGCCCCCAAAACAGTAGCGCACCTCGAAATCCTCCCTCCAGGAGAGTAGTAGCCCGTATCCTCTTCTGCCCACACCATTCATACTCTTCAAATCGGTTGCCGTTCTCGTTCTCAATGTCCACAGAGTCATCCTCAGTCATGCATGAACCTTCTCTCTGCACAGGGTAAAGCAGAGGCATATCGTTGAGAGGCAGGAAATAGCTCTTTGGGGTTAACAACTCATGGTGGAATGGAGAAGAAAAGCTGGACTGTTCCCAAGTACAGAGCAGACAGCAACATCTACTCCCACTCCCATTCCCAATGATCTAAGTCTAGAAGTAAAAGGGTGCTGGAAGAACTTGACAACCTTAAGATTAAAACAAGCTGAGAGGTTCATGATATTTACACATGGAAGTTTAAGCTCTGGTTCCTACACCAATGCTGGTGTGCATTTCAACATGCATTCCCCTGCCTTTCATGCACAACAACCCTGCCATGTAAAGTACAAATTCCTTTGATCCCCAGCAGGAATGTTCTCCTATAGCGTAATTTTTGGGGCACACTGATCAAAAGACCCCTCTCTTTACACCATGCACCTCTTGAGGCAACAAGCATGAATATATTTTTATGTGGGCTTTTCCTGAGAAACAAGCACAGAAAGCCCTATGACAACTCTCTCCCTCCCCTTGGGCTCCTTCTTTCCTTTCGATCTTTGGGATGAACAGCAAGAGAATGGCTCTGTTCAAATGCACTTCCTGGAGTTAAGGTGGTCATGCAACATTTACAAATGCCAGGCTGTTACAAAAGAACCCAACAAAAAAAAATAATAATTCTAATATTGTTAAAGGCAGAGATCAGAAAGAAATCTTCCTGCTGTGCTACACAGGAAGCATGAAGTCCTACAAAAGGCTTCATAAACTTCAATAGCTCTACCTTCACAGTCTACAACTCAAGACTTCAGTAACAGCGAAAGGGTGCATGAAGAAAGAAAGTTACTAATGCAACACAGGAGAAAAATCCAGAAAAACCCATCTTCCAAGACAAAGAGAAGTGACTACACAGGTCTTAGTGAGACAGTTAGCATCGCCTGCAAGCTCAGCAGTGTTAGTTTTTGCCTTGTGTTAGGTCAACTGCAGACAAAGCTGGGAGTAGGGAGAAGGGAATGGCAGCTGGCGATCCTGCTGCGCCTCTACCTTTGCAAGGCATTGTTCCACATGCCTACTCATCTCCTCCTCGGATCCTGACAGAGGTCGGCTGCAGAGGGGACATACCTGCCCTTCGTCTTGCTTCCTCCGTTTCATTTTTCCAATCCGAGCTGCATGGAGAAACCAGGAAAAGAAAACAAACAGAAAACAGGAAAGGAAGACATGTCAAGTTTGTAGTTCCACTCTGCTATTTGCTCAGCTCCAAATAATACACCCTTAGAAACGGTAAGATTTCACACCAGAAAGCCCCTATTCTGACCTCTGTAAGCAGTACAGTGTTACTTAGCACTTTCCAGATTAAATCTGTAACCCACGGCTGAGAACAGCCCAATTTCAGAAAGGCACCTACTCATGATTTAATAACTAGGAGAGGAAATACTTGCTGCACATCCCAGGTAAGTTAGTCAAATGGTTAAATTCTTTCTCTTGGAAGCCTGAAATTGTCTTCAAAGTTGAGTGACCAAGCCACTGAGTCCTGTTCTGGATTTTGCCTTCTAAGTCTGAGCCCCATCCACTGACACATCTATTCCTTATACAAGAACTTGCTTAGACTGTAGAAGGATGATGTAGCACCTGAAAAGCCCCGGAGAAGGTATTTAACAGTCACTTCCAGGACCACCGAGTCTCCTGTACACCCTGAATAATTTATTCCCAGAACACATTTCTTCCCAATCACAAGTCAGAGCAGCGTCTCAACAGCAGGTAACATTTACAGAGAGGAAAGATCTTTGCTGTGCAAAATGCAACACCTATGCTCCATAGCTTCTGGCACTCTATTATTTCACTATTTTCACACACAGGAAAACTGGGGGCTACACTGCCTTCTTGAGGGCACGCTCTGGGAAACTAATATGTCAGGAATCACAGTGATTAGAAAAAGCAGCCAAGGTAGCCTGTTGCTTAATCCAATCTCTGGTTAATTTGAGCCATCGTTTAATGTGATCAAAACATCTGGAACCAAATCATTTGCATTAAAAAACTTCTGTCCTTTATTATGATGGCTTTAGGCAGGTATTACTGAATAACTCAATCACTGGCTGGAGGAAAGTCGCTGTTTAATTAATAAGGAAGGTCAAAATTCTGAATGAGAGACAAGGAAAAGCCCAAGGATAGCCCATGTGATAATGAGAGATGACACCACCAAAAAGCTGCGTTAGCCAGAAATCGTTACTGACATTGTGAGCACTGCAGCATGCTCTGAAAGCCTTCATGCCTGAATACTGTAGGATCAACAGCTCCCTGCAGCCAACAAGTCAGAGAAAGCTGCTGGAATGCCAGGAAGGGAAGGAACAGGGTACGTGAAAGTTTCTGTCAGTCACTGTTTTCTAAAGTACCTCAGTTTAGTGCATGCACATCACCAAGTGAATGATAAAGTTTCAGCTGAATACACTAACACAGACCTGAAAAGCCTCTTTTAAGGCTTTCTTTTTGCTTTCTCTGGACTCAGGACTCTATGGGTTAGGATATTCTTTCCCACAATCCAGAATGAGGAGTATTCATCATCCCCTACATTCTCTGATGCTCCAGGATTAAGAAGGCTTCAAGTTATTCCCTGGGCATTACTTTCCTTCACTGAACAAGACAGATTTGTGAGAAAATTCCCTGAAAAATAAAACTCCACTCCTGGCACCACGAAAAGGGTTCTGCAAAAGGGACATTCCTGAAATGCAACTCGAGATCAAAACAAGAGTGGTTTTGATACTTGGCACTTTGAACAAGAGACTCCGAAGTGAATGCACACCACTTTCATTGCTTGTCTAGATTTTCTTTGCTGAAGCTCCACAGCCCTCCCTTTTATTGGGTACACCACACTGCCAGCTCCACAGCCCACCTGCCTCTCCCCATACATCAGGTACCTCAGCATTCCTACTGGGGTATTTTAAGTTTCCCTTCTAATTTTTCTGCTTGAATCTGTTATCTGTACTGTCAGCTCCTCCTTCAGAAAGTAAACCACGCGACTTCCAGTCAACACAGAAGCAACATAGTGAAGTGTTATTGCTAATTTCATTGTGCCCAGATGAATTATGTTCTGCTTTAAATTAAACAATGACTTCTCAACATTTCTTGCGTGTTTTTTTCTCCCCTTCCTGCACTCCTTCAACATCGTTTAGCCCTGTTCAGAAGTAGTCAGTTAAGCCACGCTCTTTCTGGTTTGTACTTCAGTGCAGAAGGCTTCTCTCCAGTTCTGGTTTAGTGAATACCCGTATCCTCCAGTACGGCTCTTCTGTGTAAGTTTAAGATGCTCTTTCCTTGGCTCACTAACTCTACAAAGCCAGCACAAAACAGAAGGCTGGAATCAGGTATGACTTGAGTATTCTCCAGGACACATCTATCTGCCCAGAGAAAAACACAGGCGCAAAGCCTCCTCTATACTGATCACAGCTACATCTTTCTCTTACCTGGTCTTGTTTTTAAACAGGGAAATGTAGGGAGGTAGCAGTTTAATTATTCTGGTAGGACTCCTCATGGCCAATCAATTCAGCTCAGTCAGTCCGCCTGGCAAGTTTATTAGTATTTTTAACTTTTTTACTGCTATCCTCTAGCCCATGCGCTCTAACACTGACAAAAAGAAGACAACTTATTTTAGGTCTTGCACCGATAAATTCTTGGGATCATTTTGCCAGAACAAGCACCTGATCTGCTGTCAAAATGTTATTGCAGAGCTGGGAACAGAACCTCACTCCACTCCAGCTCCATGCAAGACCCAGCAGACAGCCCCCATTCTTGGCTCATTTAGCTCTGCCAAGAAGCAGCCCTTTCAGTTCTAGTGCCACAAGTTAAACAGGCCACTGGAAGAAAGAGGTGTTGAAAACAAATCCCCTGCCATTTTCATTCTGTGATCAGCAGCGTTGTGTCCATGGAGGCCCAGGGTACTCCAGGTGACAGCAGAAACCAGGAGGGAAGGCTGCAGCCTGGAAAGCGCATCTGAAGCAGCGCTGTCCCTGCCCGACACAACATGCAACCGGGCTATCACTTCCAATCAGTGCAGAAGGGACAGAGCAGCCCCAAAGGCAGGGGGTGATTGTGGTACTGTCCCGAAGGGGAGCAGCTCAAAAGAACACGCAAGTGAGACCACAGGATTGTTAATTAGTGTTGATAGATGCGATCATTTCTAATTAGCTCACTAATCCCTCTCCCTCTCGCTCCTGTCGCAGGAGCATGGGAGAAGGGGGAAAAAAAAGAGCCATTCCCTCTTGTAATGCAGGATGATAATGCAGCCAGTGGAGGACTGGATGCAAGAAGAGGATGGAGCTCAGGGAAGGTCTTCTTTGCACAAGGCTGACCCTCAGCCCCTCATTCTTATCTGGAACAGAACAAAGACTCCATAGTTATTATTCCAGCCTTCTGCCAGGAGGTGAGGAGTTCACTCATTTTTATTAGCATTAATAATTATTATTAGGCCATCAGAGGGCTTCCAGCACGTCTGAGGCCTCACTTTTAACAGACGTACATTACCCTACACACTGCTCCTGCTGCACTTGCATGTTCTCCCTCAGGTTACACTAAACCATCGGGCACCCAGGGAGTTTAAGTCATTACAACACATGAATGAGAAAGCAGCACATGGAGGTGAGCAAGAATTAGGACCTTCTGCAGGGGCTGAGGCCTCAGCTGCAGTCTCTGACCTAACTTAGGACCTGTGCTGGCTTAGGGAGCTGCTCTTCCCTTTCCTAACATAGGGTCTTTTGGGACAGCACAAGCTGAGAAGCTGCTTTTGACACAAGAGGAAGAGCCAAATTGCACTTGACAGAGCCTCTGCTGCTGAGGGCACACTGGTCCCTGCCTTCCCATGGGTGCAGAGAGGAGCCAACCTTATGAGCGGAAGAGACCAAGGATCTTTTGTCACAACAGGCTCCCCACATCACGGCTAAACCTAAAGATCATGTTATTCTCTAGCCCGGCAAAACTTCCCGAGAGAAAAGCTAATGGATGTTAACTCTCACTAGTAGTCCCCTCTCCTCGTAAAAATTCACCTTCAGGACAGGGCATTAATTACCTCAGAAGTGCTCTTACACAGCATCTAGCAGTGGACACTATACAAACCTCTACCACAGCATCAAAGGAGATGATTAAGTTACTAGCAACATCTCTTATGATTCCCTCCACCAGTTTGAGTGGTCCCCTGAGTCCCATGCAGACATCATTAGCAGCTCCTGCAATGGCAGGCCAATCAAATTAAGTGGAAACATTTTTTGTCTCCTTTCCAGTGAAAACCATCTAGCTTTCTTCCACCCCACACCCATGAGCTACAACAGCACATGAAATGCTGGTGGTGGTTCAACAACAAAGTGCACTGCGGCCACCTCAATGGATGTCTGCCCAAAGGTAGGCTTATGGTCACCACCAAAACAGGAATCGGCTTCTCAGGCAGGTGCACAAGGAGCTTTGTAAGGCCCTATTTTACAACTGCACTGAAAACGCCAACTTTGCAAATACCCCTAAATTTGCACTAAAGGTATTCAAGCACAAGAGCTAGCCCCTGCTCTCTACAAATCTACTAGAGGAGTCATGAGGAGTGGTTATACCTATTTTTGTTAGGCCTATCACAAAAAACTTGTGTGGATGACCAACTTCTCCAAGAGTTCCAAAGGGAACAAAGGCAGCAATGGCAGAGCACAAAAAATCTTAAGAACAAGCTAAAGCAAAAAAACCAGATGGCCAAGAATGAATGCGTTTCAGACCTCACGTACAATTTGCTGCTCATCTACCCAAGAGAGAATGTTAAGGGCCAAATTCACAGAAGGGTCTCACTGGGACTTTCACATTTACATGGCCAAACATCCACAGAGATGATTTTCAGCAACCTTCTGACACTCTTCTCCAAGGCTGGCACATATTTAACCTGCTGAATCCATGTTCTGAAACACTAACCCGTAACATTGTGACTCTAATTTGGAATGACTACCCAACCTGCTCTGCACTGCTGAACTCCATAAGCATCAATTTACAGGGTGGCTTAAAGTTTCCAGTTTGGCAACACTGGAAATAAGGCAAGTGAAAGAAATGCCTTCTTTCTCACATGGGTTCATAAGGAATCAACACCTCATACTCCGGGGTTCACAAGGACTCAACCTCTGCAGAGTGAGTTCAGCACAGGTGAGAGGTGTGGGTTTAACTCACTGAGGCTGACAGGGAAGTTCAGATACAAACACTCAACCTAGAGTCTGACAGACAGAACATTAATCTCTTCCTCCAGGGCTTGCAAATGCATTCACCTTACTTACAGTTCAATTTAAGTCAAAGGTTTGACTTACAGAATTAAAATTCTGGACTGTCAGGTACCTGTGAACCATGTAACCATCAGGACCTAATCATGTCACAGCCAGGCCAACAGCAACCCACAGAAGGCATCTCCTTTTCTACCTTCTCTTTCTTTAGCTTTTGTTGCACTTTCCCAAGTGATTACAACAGGACAGAAGACATCAAGGAGATCTGACAGGGCTCAAGCAAAAGCTGTGGGCAGCTGAGATTTGAGTCAAGGATGATGTGTGAGAAGAGCAAATATGCCCTTTTTTAGCGGGGTTTTTATCCAGAAGTGGTTCTGGAACTCAGGTGGGAAGAAGCTTGACAGAGATACCAAGATAAACACGTTACAACAACATTCAAAAGCACACTTAAAACTTAATAAACCCAAATGAAGTGGATTTTTCTTTGACAGATAAGGCTGTATTTTCCATATCCTAAATTTCTTCAGTGAATCAATAAGAATATGAAACAAAAAGCCAGGTATCTTTGCCAAGTCCTTGTGTCAATGCAAACTAACATGGATAAGGAAACCATTCTCACAAAGCAAGCTACAAGGCTGCATGATTGATCAGCAGCTCATTAAACCACAAGACAGCATCAAATAAGCATTTTTTCTTTTCCCAGAGCATTCAAGTGTTCTCCATCTGGAGCAACACTGCTTAAAGAACTGTTTAACAATCATGTGGCAAAGCTTATGAGTACCACAAAGTTATTTTAGTGCAAAAAAAACCCAACCAAACATGGAGGAGAAAACAAGAAAACAGGCCGAGTTCAGTAGTCACAAATAGAAAGTCACAGGCATAGAAAGGAGCAGTATAACCATCCAGCTGCATATTAGTCTAAGGGCATAGGATATCATTACAGGTATGTTTTGAGGACAGCAGTAACAGAATCATAAAAAGCTAAAGTCAGGAGGAACTAGTTCTGTTCTAGTTTGACCTTCTTTGTGACCCAAAGCCAAGCACTTCAGCTGGCATCCCTGCATCTAGCTCCATAACGTCTGAGCCTAGTACTGTCAGGGTGTACAACAGAAAGGACAGGAATACCAGCATTATAAAGGCATTATATATATCAAACAAATGCCCTCATTAGTTGTGCTCACTGTACCCCAAAAGGTATATAAAAAAGGAGTAAAAGGTTCAGCAAAAGCAATGCAAACTCTGTTCAAAACCAGCATCCCTTTAGATGATGAGCTCAGATTCACAAAAACATCCAAGAACAGGGTCCAAGAGGAGTGACTGTGCTGAAGCCCTATTTTGGGCTATAGTGGAAAGCATAAAGTACTACTGAGCCAGTTCAGCAGAGCATGCTGTTAGCAAGAGCTTTCATTCATTCTGAAGGACTGCACAACACCAAGAACCTCACAAGCCTGGCTCAGATGTGGGTTTCTTTTGGTTTTGGGTTTTTTTGGGGGGTATTTCTTTAATTTAAGGTAACTTCACATTGTTGGCTTGAAAAAAAGGTGGAAGGTGGGAGTTAACCCCATCTATCAAAAAATGATAAAGAAACAGTTTGACATGACTGACTCCAGAGACCTCTGTCACACAAAACAAGTCACTGCAGAGTAATACCTCAGCATACTGCAGCCATCTGAAGTCTCTGTGTCCAGAACAGGACCTCCCAATGCTGGCAGCTCACTGCACTCATCTGGGAGCACAAATGTGAGCACACCTACCAGCAGTTACCTGTAACTGAGGTAAAGCAACTCACCTCTTTGTTGTACGACTGAACAGGCTTCCAAGAGCTCACAGGTTTCTGGCCTTCTGGGCTTATATTTAAGAATCTGACCTCAGTTATGTATAATTTATCAAAGATCCTGGGTCATAATAACACTCCTATTTGCTTCAGGCTACGCTAAACACGTAGTACATTAAATTCAAGCACACTATTGTGCTATCAGCACACTCTAAAGCCTTCTGCTATTTTTTTAAAGTATCTCTATCTTCTTCTGAGCAAACCGCAGCAGCACAATGTCACCAGTGTTAGCTTAAACCAGGACAGCAGGAAGCTGTGATAACAATTAATAAACCTCCTATTAGCCTGAATAACCACATTTTGACTAAATGCTACTTATCAGACCAGCTCCAAGCAACTCAAAATCAGATGCCAGAGTACTGTTACCATTTAAAGTGTAATTTCTAAGTTCTCTGAACTTTGGGAAAAGAGTTTCAACTTCTTCAGCTCAAACAACAACAGAACAGTACACTTTCCAATTTTGTTTTCTGATTTATGAGCACAAAGATGGGACTTTTTCTGAAATAAATTGAGCTCTGATTTGTTCTTCAAATACAAAGACACTTTCTGCTAGGAACACTTTGTAACTTGTTGCCAGGAACACCCCGAAATACAAGAGCAAAAGTAACGCACAAGCATCAGTGGGTTTGAGAGGGAAAAAAAAAAGCCACAACCAAAACATGACGTCAGATGCACGGACGCTCAGACTGCTGGTTTAAAAGTTTACTGCAAGATTCTGCCATATGAGCTATGAAAACATGGAAAGCTGGCCTGGAAAAGACGGGATGCCAGGCCCACTTTATAGCCCCACCGGTGGGATCCCGGGGGCTGCCCCCCGGGAAGCCAGGATGAACATGGAGGGTTTCCCCCCAACCCATCCTGTGCACCCCACCGGCAGCACGGCGAGACCTCGGCGGGGCAGGCCGCAGCTCCCGGCCTCCGGAGGGGCTGGTTCACACCACTCGGCCCAGCTCTGTGAAGTTCTCCAGGCAGGGGCCGCCCAGCGGGGCGGGGGGAACGCGGGGCCGCACTCACCGTTCAGCCGGGTCTGCCGGTTCGCTCGCACCCGCAGGAAGGTCTGCAGAGGGGACACAAGAGCGGAAAAGTGTCAGGGCCCGCGGGCGCCCAACGTAAACAACTCGCACCCCCCGCCGGTAAACAACGCCGACCAGGCGCCCCCCCCCCGCCCCGCGCATCACCGGGACAACGCAACAGCCCCGGGCCTGCACTCCCCCCCTCCTTGGTCCCCCAGCACGCACCTCTTCCCGGCCCCCGCCGCCGGGCCCCCTCCTGCCGCTCTGCATAGCCGCGGGCGGGCGGCGGGCAGGGGCCCCGGGGCGGAGCCCCCCGCACAGACCGGGATGCGGGCGGATACGGCGCGGCCCGACAGGCGCCGCCGATCAGCCCCCAGCGGCCGCCGCCATGTTAGCCCCGGTCATGTGACCCACCGCCGAGCGGGTGAAAGTTCATCAGGAAACCGGCGGGGGAGAAGCGCGAAAGGAGGGAGTTCCCATGGCAACCGACAGGCGGCAGCAGGGCCCAGCGAGCCCCAGCCAATCAGAGAGCCGGGGCTGCTGGAACGCAGGAGCGCCTGGCCAATCAGAGATCAGGAATAACTGGGACCCAAGAGTACTAGGCCAATCAGAATCAGGAACCACTGGAACCCAAGGGCATGACCAATCAGGACAATGGGGCAACTGGAACACTGGGGCAGATTGCTGATTAGAGCCCAGGAGCAACTGGAAGCAGGGAGCAAACTGGAAGTTGTCTATTTCAGTAGGGATTGAGCACCCTTTAGGCCCAACCGCACTGGCAAATCAGGGCCTTGGGCCTGAATGTAACCCAAAGGTGCTGGCCAATCAGCCACCAGGACCAACCTCTCCCCAAGTTTCCTTGCCCAATCAGAGATTGGGGGCCCAAGGCACCTGGCCAATCTGTGCCCAAGGCATACCTAGACCTGAAGGCGGGTGGCCAGTGAGGGTGCAGAGCTCCCTCCATGGTCCCTGCCCCACCATGGAGCCCTGAGGGCTGTTTCCAGTGCCCGGCCATCACGCCTGTCCCTGAGCACCAGCACCAGCAGTGGCTGCTGCTGGGGTTCTTGCCCATGTCTGTGGTGGGGCAAGCCAGGGGATACAAACTGGGCGGCATGTGATCTTGTTGAAGGTGTCCCTGTCTGTGGCAGGGGGTTGGAACTGGATGTTCTTAATGCGTTTATCACATTCAGGTCCTTTCCAACCCAAACCATTCCGTGTCTCTAAGATGATGGTCAGTGAGCAAGTTAAGGTGCTGGCAGGTAAGCTTTGCACAGTGCTGACCTGCATCGTACACCCCAACTGGGTCTGCAAGCTGAAATGCCGCTGTATTTACATACATGTGCGTACTTACAAAATCAAAGCTGATGGTTGTCGGTTTTACCCTGTTAATTAATAAAGCTGCCTTTAAGGAGGCATGCTTACTGCTGGGCACAGGGGGAGGAAGGTGAGCCTTCCCTGGGCAAGGATTTTAGGCTCTCTGTTACACTTACTCCCCACATTATCCAGGCACAAGCACTCTGTGGGCTCGTCTGACCAATGCGAGATGGTCTCCTTCCAAGCCTGAAATGTTATCTTTGCAGTACAATAAATGACTTATAAACCGCTGTTTATTTTTCCAGTGGGGATTCAGGGCTGTTCCTAAATCTAACTAAAATGGCTTTATTTTTACTGGAAGCACAGGAAAAGCCCCATCTAACAGAACATACTGTGTCAAAGAGGAGCACCCACCCAGGCCACATCGCAAGGTCCTGCACTACACCAGCTGCCACCACCTTGATCTGATCAGTGTGCCCATACCGAGCCCCGTCAGGCAGGCTTGGCACAGGGAGCCAAGAGGATCCCCCTGCCCCACGTCCCGGAGCCATGCTGCCGCCTCCTCTGCAGCTCCGTCTCAGCATGGGGACCAGTGCAAGGAGCCCGAGTGCTGTGCAAGGCCGTGTTCCTATAGCACTCCTGTTCATAAATCTCTTTCTTCCCTAAATATCCCCATGGAAAATAAACACGATGACGAAGAAAACCGAGCCACAGGAATTCTGAAAACCTATACACCAATAACTGGCGTTCTAGCATGTTACTAATACACTGTATATTTGCAATTAGATCACAGATAACACAGGGGACATTCATAATTCCAGCACACCTCTGCACATGGAAAGCTGAATTTTGCAGCCCTTAAAGTCACCACCGTGCGAGTCTTCTGCTCTGCTTCCTGAGCATTCCCCTTGGTAAGCCAGGAAGACTGAAATCTCATTCATATTGTGGCTCTATTAAGGATACACTGAGGCTTTACACCAGCCTGACACCCACTCGGAGGTCCCTTTACGCTGCCAGAGCAGCATAACGCAGCCAGCACAAGCGTAAATGAAAATCAGGCCCCAGAGGTTTTTCCTCCCTGCAGTGCAGACTTACAGCTCCCATTACACATTTGCATTAAGGGCTGCAACCCTCCATAAAATACACTCACCAACTTAAAACACATTACAGACCAGCTAGACTCAGCACACAGAGAGGGCTTCTGCCAAGAAGAGTTGTCCTCATGTATGGTGCAATAAAAACATATAGGAACAGAGGACTGCAAGGACTGGTGGAAGGGAGGAGTGTTCAACAAAGGGGTCATGGCAAAAATCTCTTCCACGTCCTTTCAGAAAGAACATGGTTTATTTATTATCCTTAATAAACAACAAGATTACCTGAATCATGCATTTCTCTATCTTCTGCAGGGTTTTGCTTCTCTTACTCTGTACCAAGTCTCATCTTTCATAGGAGGGGAAAGTGACTGTGATGTGACACCAAGTTATAACTGAAGGCTGCGTGGGAATATGTAGCAAACACTGGAGGTTCTGGTGTGTATTTGATAATATAACCAATATAGAGAATAATGGGTGACAAATGTAAAATTTGCTATGCTCTTTATATTGGTTATATCTTGGTTGTATACTGGGGGTGTTAACTGAGCAGCCCCAGTTGAAGCATGTCTTCCTGAAGGTAGCAACACTGCTCATCAACTTCTCCCTCTTCAGATCTAAACAGACCTGGCACATGCAATGTGGCTGATACAGGAAGACGTGACCATTTGCCTGACCCTGGGCACAGGGTCTCTCTGCAGAGCAGGGTAGGATGCAGGGTGATGGGTGTATGCCGTGCTGGTACAGCCGCAGCACACCCATCCTGACCTTGTGGCAGGTAGAAGCACGCTTGGGTCTGTGCTGAAGACCACCATTAATCTATCTGCTGCCTTTCAGAACTTACTTGAAGTCAGCGGCCGAGCACAGGCTTGCAGCCAAATGGTTTGGATGTGTGTTGAGTTGGAGTCAAGTGTGCCAGCCTCCCCCAAGACACAGACACAGCAAGACAAGCTGTACTGGTGCTGCTGCCTTTCTCTTTTGTTGCTCCATCTCCCTCACTGCAGCACAAGTCAAGACCTGCTGCTCCTCTGGGCAGACAGTGTTTTCTGAAGCATGCTGGCATGGCTATGGTCGGTCCGAAACCATTTTTGCTTTGGGCAGGAGTCACGAATCAGTGTGCTGGGCAGCAGCACACCAGTGAAATGGAGAAGTTTGGCCTGCTGCAGGCGGACATAATTTTCTCTTTTACAAAAAAATCCCTTCTTTGGACTTTTCCTGGTGGCAGGGGGTAAGTATTGACAAACATGCTATGGCAACAACTGAACTAATGAATATACTGCAACAGAAACCTCTGACAGGATTTAGAGCAGTATTGCATGGCTGTAGTTTGAAGTCAGAACTGGGGGCGCTCTGCAGACAAAAGCACACTTTTGTAGCTGTGTGAGGGACCAAGTGCTCACATCCCCATGTGAGCTGGGGCAGTGGAGCTGGGGCAGTGGTGCACATCCATGAGGCAGGCTCTCACACACAGAGAGCTGTGAGCATTGGGGCGAGCTGGCTCCCTGCCTGAGACTGAGACCAGTGACAGCATCCGCCTGCTTACCTGGTATCTGTCGGAGTGATGGATGTCATCTGAGGAGTGGGGTGATGCTGTCGGAGAATCTCCTTCTCGCTTGATTGAAGCCGACAACAAAATTGACTGCAAGAGAAAGGAGAAATTTATGCTGTGAGTGTTGTCGAGCTCTCTGCCCATTGCTAAGCTGTTCTCAAAGCCATGGAGAGCATCTGCTGGGCCGTGTGGCTGTGCTGGGATGGACTAATGGGCTGAGTCTGCTCTTCCCAAGGGACCCTGCCCCACGAGGGACTGGGATGCAGGGTCTAGCAAAGTGCAGATGCATCAGGCAACAAAGGGGTGGTCATTCTGTCCTCAGGTCTGGTGACTGGGGGCAGTAGAATCAGTCTCTGCTGGAAACGCTGTGTGAGGACCACACCAGAAATCCACAAGGTAAAGGTGAAGACATGCTGATACGGAGCAGGGCTTATGGGCTGTCATCCACCCCTCTAAGTGCCACTAAATCTCTCAGTAGCTTTGTAAACTGCACTAAAGCTCTCAGCACCTTTTCAGCACAACTACCTCTTCCTTCTGTAATGATGCTATTTATTTTAATAAGTAGCAGAGAAAAAAAGGGCCTTTTAGAAGGTTAAAAAGATCAGTGATATCTGAGACCTAAGAAATCACTGATAAACTTCAAGTCAATAGTAGGTAAGTCTAAATTCCACAGAGTGAACTCTAGTGGGAAAATTACTGCAGGAGTTTGACAGTATCTAAAAAGCCATACCCTGAGTTGCAAGTGAACTTTATTATTAGGAGAGTTTGAGGGCAAAATGCAATCCAAAATTCTAATTTAAAATATAAAGTGGCTAAACTGGGCTAAATATAGTCCAATACATTGTAAAACAAAATGCGCACTGGAAACGCTGCTCTGCAGATGTTTGTTTCTGAGAATCAGCTGGCAAGATATGACAATAAATGACTGCTCGGAGATGTGTATGTTTGCAAAAGGAAGTGTAGATATCATCTGAATTGGACAGGTCAAGTGTGGTGACAACATTATTAAAAAGCATAATACCTTGGAGAAAGGGAAGCATTCCAGAAACATTTGCCTCTGGGCTGAAATGAAACGTGAAAAAATGTGCATTTTTTGGAAAGATATGAGCAAGTGGGAACATGACTCAGCGTACAAATCCATTCAGTCAGCAGGATGCCATCCCCTGGGCTTGGACAGCTCTCCCAGTGAGAAAAGCTCAGTCAGTGCAAGCACAGAGGGAGGGCAGGCTCGGAATGAAGGCAGGGAAAGAAGATTTGTGATGCTGGGTTCAACCCCATGGGCCTGAGCTTCTAGTCTTGTCACTAGGGCAAGACCCACATCCCGGTGAGTCTCTGCCATAATGCATGGCTCCATGGCTGGTTCCATGGGAAGCTGTGAATGCTCCATCCCTGGCGGTGTTCAAGACCAGGTTGGACGAGGCCTTGGGTAATATGGTTTAGAGCGAGGTGTCCCTGCCCATGGCAGGGGGGTTGGAACTAGATGATCTTAAGGTCCTTTCCAACCCTAACCATTCTGTGATTCAGTTCTGTGATTCTATGGTGGAACAGAGATGTGATATCCTGAGAGGATAGGGGAATTGTCAGTGGGAGCCTGTGGGCACCCAGAAAAGATCAGCCTCCACTTCCCAGGGGATACACAGGCAGAACAGGGGGCTCTCCAGCCTCATGTGTTGGCTGAACCCAAATAGTGATGGGTTTTGGCGAGTGGCTCATTTATTCATGGAAAAGCACTCTGATAACCATGTGAAGCCACCAGGAGAATTTCTCCAGAGTGTAAACCCCAAGATCCTGACATTGCTTAGTTTCTTTATTCTCTAAGCAGAGAACGAGGACCATTTTTGAAGAAGCAGGGTTGCACATGTCCTATAAAATGGAGAGATGGGAGCTCAAAGCCTTCGGTTGTGACTCAAAACAACAGCCCAGATTACAGCAGTATTAATGCCCTTCTCCTCTAATAAGCCAATGGAGCTGGGAGGGTTAAATCTGTCTTGTCTTGCAGCGTATTCTAGAGAAGGGGAAAAAATACCCATCTCCCCATTCCTTGGTGACAGACAGACAAACCCTCCCCCCTCAGCTTCTGGTAGCTCTAATCCAATATTATTATGTGAAAAATGGTGGGGCTAGCTATGGAGACAGTAAATTAAACGTTATGTATTAGTTTTTAGCATGTGGTCCCGGGAAGAACGCCGGCCCCATTTATTCCACAAACCTCCTGAGCACCATGGCGATGACCTCTGGAAAAACGCAGGGCTAAACTAATCCCAAAGATGTCAATCTCGAGGCCTCTTCTACATACACTTGCAGTTGAGATTAATAAACTGTCTATTTCTAAATTGTGTGCAAGCACTTCAATTCTAAATACCTCGCCGGCATGTTAAACACAGCGTTAGAGATGCCAAGTCACACTTCCCCTTCACTCTTAGGAAACTTGACTTCATTTGTTTCTCTCATTTCCGTGCGCTGTGCCACGCTTTGGTGTTCAGGCAGCTGTGGGAGCAGGCAGGGATGCAGGCTCTGGAGCTAAGGGATTAGGAAAGGCACTCGCCATTAGGATGACTTCCATTTCTGCAGTAGGTCATACTCTCTAAAAGAGGCCATCTGAGTTTTGGCCTCTTTTTATCTCAGATTGTCATGTTGGGGCTGTTTTCCAGTGGCTAAATGGCAAGGATGCTTGGCCACAGCACGTCAGACCAAGGATTTGCTGTCTCATGGACCTACACTGCTCAAACTCATTCAGGTCCTGGCAAGCGGGGAAGGGGCAGAGATATAGTCCCCCTTCCTATCTCAAGCGGCATCTGGGAAGATAGCTATGGAAGGAAAAGGCAGCTTTACATGCTCACACTGAAGGGCAAACCCAAATTCTGGCATCCCATCCCAGAAACACAGCGCCGGTGCTCCGCATACAGACAAGCGTGCCATATGGCTGTGCAGAGATGCTCCCTTTGGCATGGTGGGAACAAGCCTTGACACTGAGAATTCCCTTTTCCCCCTGTGGAAAGACCACCGGTCAGCTCATCTCTAACTGGTTGCCAGTTCAGCCCAGCTCCCTTTCAGGGTGCATGTGAAATGGGTGAGAGCCCATTCTGGTCCCCCTTACCCTGGTATACCACAGCTCCCAGCATCAAAGACAGAGCAAGGGCCTTGTGCGAGCGGCCATGCAACCCCATATTTCTCCCTCCCCTTTAAATCATCTCTCCACTGGGTAAAGGCACTCTCTGCGGAGGTTATAAACCCTGAGAGGATCAGCCTGAGCATTACACCTGGGGCAAGCTAAATAAAAAAAGGTCACCGGCGCTTTTTAAACATGGACAAAAAAGCAGTAAAATGTGTTTGGAAAAAAAAATCTGGCATTAAATCATGACTTTTTGCCTGGCTTGCCTCATTAAAAGTGGCCTTTTGGAAGGTAAAATTATCATTGTAAGTGATAAGATCTTTAAGAAAATAATTCACGGCTTCTTCACCCTTTAATATGATAGCCGCCACCGGCTAATTTTTTTCTTAATGGCAACGAGACTATCAATCTTGTCCAAGCCCTGCACTCCCTCCTTCCTCCTGCCCCTCCTGCCATGCCAGGCAGCCATGGCCCTGCTCACTGTTCCTTCCTACCCCTTGGAGCCCAGCTATGCTGTGCCAAGGAGAAGAGGCACGTCCGGATGTGTGGCTTTACCCACTTGTATCTATGCATTCCAGCAAGAAGCAGAGGCCATGTAAGCCTTGCTCATGCTGCAAGGTTCACACCTTGGTAGCTCCCAACACCCTCCGTGGACAATGCAGCTCTGCACAGCATCTGCAAATGTTTCAGCAGTCTCATTCAAATAAGGAACGACATAAAGTTGACATATATCAATACACGGGCAGGTTTGCCATGAACCAAATGTGCTGCTCTGATCCCGGTCCATCGCTCTTTAGACCCGCTCCTTCTTGCTCGGGCGGAGGAGCCGTGGGCAGCTCCAAGGTGATGCTGGCAAGGGCATGGGTGCCAGCGTGCCACCAGAGCCCAGACTATAGGCACTCAAGACATGTGTCTGTGGCAGCACAAGGGGAGGGTGCGGGCGTCAGGGTGCATCAAAAGAAATGGATGGAAATTGCTGGCACTCGTTGACCCCAGCGCCAAGCACTGCCTCTTGCCGGCAGCCGGGTGAGGTGTCAGTGCTGGGAGAGCCCAGCCCGTGCCTCTGACATTCTGCTGCCTCTCAAGGCCAGCCATCTGAGAGTATTAAAGTGCTGGACTCCTGCTTTCTGATAGCCCTGGAAAAACACAGGGAGTCCATTTTTCTTAAACAATCCATCACAGCTGCTGTCAGCAGAACAAATACCCTAACCCTGCTTTTTATGTATCTATATAGGCTTTTTTATTATTATTTTTTTCTATTTTGGCACAAAGTGTTCCCTGCTTGATGCATTCAGCTTTAACTCTGCTGTCTAAATAGGTACTTATCACTTAACATGGAGGTGATGGCTTGACATGTTTTCTGTCTCCTGCCCTCCCCTCCACGGTAGGGAAGCCATCAAAGTGTTGCTAATAGCTGTTATCACTTGGGAACTGTAACCCGAAAGCAATGAGCGATACCAGGCCTTGCTGTGATTTTCCCTCTTAACTCTGCTAGCTGGTTTTTGTGTTATTCCTGGAGGATCCGTGACACAAAGATGCCACTATTAGAGCTGAGTTTCCTAGGAGCTTTCGGAGGGTCCACATTTGCTCCTGGTAAAGTTAGAGGTAAAATTATCTAGTGGCTTTTAGCTGGCAGAGGTAAAGGTGGGATGGAACTGAGGCTGAAAGGCTTAAATGTGAGAAGGGTGTGAGTAGTGAACTGAAATAATGGTAACAGCAGCTTCTGGCCATGGCTAAAAGATTCCAGTGGTCTGCAAGCAGAATAAGCTTACAGAAATGTGAGCTACTGATTTATTTCTGTGCATGTTACAGTTACACCTGGGATTGTAATTGAGCGCTGGGTCCTCTTGGTCAAGACACCAGCTACACAGTATGGAAAAGGGCCCCTTCCAGCAGGAGCGCCTATTGGCACACCAGGGATGGAGGGGAAAGAGGTCTGCAGGGAGCCAGCCTGTGCAGCTCTCCTCCATCACCACATCCCTCTCTGCTCCTGATGCCAAACACAGCCCGATGGGAGGGCACAGCTGTTTGGCCCAAGGGGAGCAAGGGGCTTTTGTTTGTTCATGGGGTAATTTGTTTTATGGAATAAAACCTGGCAGAGAGTGTTTTTTGGAGTGGCTCCGGTATTCATCACCCCATATTGGCAGGGACTGTGACCAGCCAACACTCATCCTATGTAATTTCACCTCTTTCGCATATCTCTGGGCTGTTCTTGTGTCCCCAGCTTGGCCATAGCTTTGCCACAAAGCGGTGTCAGATATAGCTCTTTAATCTTTCCTCGTAAATCACAGTTACAGAGGGAGGGGGCACAGATACGGTGAGTGACTTCTGCAACCCCCTCCCAGTGAGCCAATGACACAAGAGAAGGAGTTAAAACCCCAGGGCCCTGGCACCCGTCCCCTGTTCCTACCACCAGATGTGATACGGAGAAGTTAAATGATTGTGCTAGAAATTCCATCTCCAGCAAGGCACCTGGGAAGGGCTTAATACAGACATTCTGTCAAGGTTTAAGGCTCCAAATCTTGCTTGCTTCAAAGCTCTTTTTCCTTGGAGGGCTTTAGTGGTCAAATTTCTCTCTAGATGCTGTAATTCTCTCCCAAACTGCCCAGTGAAGCTGTAAAATCACAGGGGTGGGTGGGGGAATCAAAGGGCTTCTAGCACTGTGGCTTGGTTCCCAGCAATGCCGGAGGTCTCGGAGCAGCGTGCTGACTGCCTTCCTGCAGGCCCCTAAACAAACTGTCCACAAGTATCTGCTAGGTGCATAAGCTGGATTTTGTTGCTGGCTGCTCACACCAGTGTTGGTTTGCAGCAAGAGCCAGCGCACAGACTGGACTGTTAGTGGGAAAGTGAATTTGCAGTCACGTATTAGGGAGCAGCAGTGGAAAACCAATGCTGACCCCACCGGGATTGCTGGGATGTGTTATGGAACCCAGCCTCTTCCTCTTCTGTGGTCAGTACCAGCACTTTCACAGGGGATGTAAGTTCTCCTGTTAGATGATGGGTAATAGGCTGCAGCGAATACCCCGAGATTTAGGGGTTAAGACCTCTCTGTGCAGATGATAGCCCATGGAGGGAGAGCCATGAGACAGAGAGTGGCAAAGAAGTGCCCTTAGGAGGACCTGAGGATGCTGACTCTCCAAGTTACTGCTGGCTGCTCAATGAAGAACAGTAACACTTGGACTAAATGCTGCTCATACATCTCACCAACATGGGTTTAACTCAACATGTGCTCGTTTCCTGCATCACCCCTTGCAAGAGGCAGCCAAGGCAAGAGGGGAAAGGCAGAGAGAGAGCATGAAGCCCAGGAACAATGCCCAGGGTACTGCACACTGCTGACAGCTATGTTCAGACCCCTGGACAGCCATGAGCCTGAAATGAAAGTCATCCCTGTTGCCTGGTCTGCCTGAGACACAGCCTCTGGCCATGCTGGGCCGTGCTGCAGGGAAGGTGTCACCTTGACGTGTGGGGACTCAGCAATAAGAAGATCCAGCATCACAAGCCATGGGGGGAGCATCCAAGCATGCAAACAGGGACAGAAACTGCTGTTGGGAGGAGACGGTGGTGTTCCCCTTGCTATCTTCAGGCTATGGGACTTCTTGCAGACACCTTGCAGCTATCTCAGGCCTTTTTCTCCCACCAAAGCCCAGCTTTCCTAAGTGGCAGTCAGGGTTAGATAGGAATCTCATCCTGAGACTCACTGTGCAGGTTTGTCATCTGCTTGTCCAAGTGGCTTGTCCACCCTGGCATATCACCATCAATTGGACTTGGTCTCTAACAGAAAGCAGATGAGGATCCAGAACACTGCAGAGCTATGTGGTGCTCAGTGTTCCCTCCAAGCTGCCTTCACAGAGAGAGAGCCCAGGCACCAAGCAGATGTGATGGCTGGAGCCCCCCAGCTCTCAGCCCTTGCTTGGCTTTCACTGCCTTTACCAGCTCTGATAATAGAAGAACCTGATACAATAATCCCGCATTCATCACATCCCATGTTGAGTGATTGGATTTTCTTTGACATATTGCCATGAAAATTGACCCAGTGCAGTGAGTGACAGCTCTTCAGAGGCAGGAAAGCTGCACGCAAGGAGCATGCGTTTACATCTGGGGTTTTATTGCCAGGAGAGACATTCCCAACTATGGGAATGGGATAGCAGCAAAGCCAGGAGACAGAGCATGGGGGGTTAAATTCCCTGCTCCCAGATGCAGCCTGGGAAGAACCTCAGGCCAGCACAGAAGCAGCAATGGTAGTGATACTACATGCAGAGGACTTAAATGGGTTCTAATGTGGCCTTAAAGCCACTGGTGCTCACAAAAGTAACACAGCCAGCCTGCACCCCACTGCAGTTCCCATGTCCCTGAGTGGAACCAGCCTGCCTGCGCTGCCAGGGAATGCTCTTGGGGATTGGGGTGGTGCAGCCTGTTTCTCCCGCTGCTGCTGGAGGTGCTGGCACTTCTGTTGGCACCAGGAGAGGATTGGCCGGGAGATGTTGCATCAGTCCCTGTGATCCTTGCAACACCTTCCACCAGTGCCCAGGGTCGGAAGTGGGACATGGAACAGGTCCCAGCTCTTCCGAGGTGGTTCCTGACAGACTTCCAGTGATGCCCACCCTGGGATCTGTCCCTCATCCCTCTGCCTGGGACCCCTGTTTAATGGTGGCCCAGAGGCCCAGCTTTGTCCCCAGGGGCACTTTCTCAGAGGGACTTCACATCCCAATGGGCTATTCCCATCCCATGCTGCAAACACTCAGTGGGCAGAAGGGGAAAGAAGCTTCATCTCCCCATCATCCTCCTCCTCAATCCCACCTGGTTACAAAGGGGTCTTTAATACCAAGCTCAGGTGAAGGTGACAGCGCTGTGCCATCCCCTGCCACACAGGACTTGTCTCCCAGCAAAAGCCACCTAGAAATAATGAATCCTCCTGGGCTGAGAGGCTTTCAAGCTCTCTGAGAAGGGAATGAAAGATTTCTTGATTTCACCCTCTCCCTCCCTGCTCTCCTGGCTTCTTGAAGTTAATGTTCTTAGCCCCAGACGTGACGGGCAAAGGAAAAAGATCCATGTGGTGACAGGGGACGATTGATCTCTTTTACATAGAACGACGCTCCAGTCCCAGTTTAATCCCCTCGCTCAAGGCAAATGGGATTCTTTGTCAATGGAAACTTCAAAAGCCCGGCCCTGCCGTGAGATGGACCTTCTTCTTTATCTGGTCTCTGTCAGTCACTGGCTGTGTTTCCCTCCAAACAGCTATCTGTCTTCCTAGCCATCCTTCTCCCTCCTCGCAGGTGGTGTGTTTGGGACTGTTGAGTTATCTGCACTCAGACCTGATGAGGAGGGAAAGGGAAACTTGCAGAGTCCTGCTGCTTTCATCTTGTGAGTGCCCTTTCCAGCTTGTTAGAAACATCCCAAAGCAGCCTCAGGCTGCTTGGACTGTGTCGCCAGAAGGGCAGGAGAGCCTGGACCACTTGCTTTTGCCCTCATTGAGGAGCACAGCGTGGTTTCCAGAGGCTGTGCAATGCCCAGCTGCCCTGCAGTGCTCCCTGCCACCCATTTTCCTGCCCAAGCTCTGGTCCTTCTCACAGGATGTCCAGCTAAGGGTAATACAAATTAGTGAATGGTGCCCTCCGCAGTGATGCCACGATGCTCTGTGCATTTTGCATTCTTGCATTCTGAGCCAAGTGGATGGGAAGTGGGTCCTGGGCAGGGGCATGCAGCCGGGATGGGGTCTTTCAGTGATTTGGGCTCCTCCTCAGGTGTGCTTTGCTCCCCTGAAACAGTCCCACTCCCCTCTTCCAAAGCTGGCATATGGCTCTGGCTCCAGCAGCTCCTGCACATGATTTCCCAGGCTGAGCTCAACCTGTGTGTGATCAGCTCTCATTAGCTGTCATTAGACACAATCTGGAGTCCCTGAGCCCACTGGGCCCCTCAGCTTTGCCGTCCCCTGGCTTCATGGGGAATGAGAAAGACGCGTGTGGGTACTTGGCTGCTCCAGCCCAGTGGGTGAATGGGACAGCAGCTTCTCCCAGCACTGGCCCCCATAGCGTGGCTACCTTCCTGGGACACACCAAATAGCAATACAGGGAGCAGGCTGGGAAGGTAATGGGGTGTAAAAAGCATCCCTCTGGGGGAAGAAAGCGTGCTGAGTTGTTCTCACTTACCTTGGGGGTGCCTGCTGCCATGGCATCCTTCAGGATGGAGCTCTTGCTGCCAAGAGAGAAGAGAACGGGATCAGAGTCATTGAAATGCTGTGGTGGGCAATGGGGGAGCACTTTGAGGGATCTCACAAGGTCTCTCCTTCCCCAGGTCAGGGAAAGCCATCTCACCCTGACCAGAGTGGCAGGGAAAGGAGGGCAGCTCCGACTGTTTCTCCAGCTGGGATAAAATGGTCCTACAAGTGGAACCTCCAAAACCCAGACACGATACAGAGTCAAATCCTGACTTTCCCCCTTCTTGGGGTATTGCACAGCTCCTCTCCCAGCCCTGGGGAAAATGGGATCAAGCCTGCAGGGGCACAGGGGAGGAACCCAAGGAGGGGGGAACGGAGGATCAGGCACCATAAAAAAAGGAGAGAAGGAAAGAGAAGGAGGTGGAATTGGCATAGGAGCAAGGGAAGGAAGATCCTCCCAGCTCCAGCCACAGCGTGGAGGCAGCAGCTCTGCTGGAGGAGGGAGTGATTTGTTAATTCAGCTTGTTCCCCATTTAGCAGGGAAGGAGGTCCCCGCCATGCTGCTCCTCCTCGCCTGCCCTCGCCAGCGGGAGATGCTATAGATTTAATAACACCTTCCCCCCCCTCCAGACAGGTTAAACTTGAAACAATTACATATCAAAGCCGACATGGCAGGGAGGCCTGCACTGTAATTTTTTGGTTATTAAAGTAATCTCTCTCATGTAAATTCTCCTGCTAACATGCTGCAAACAGCATTAGGAAATAAATTATTTCCCCATGATTCGATTTGTCAATGCAAAGCACCTGCAGCAGGCAAAAGGCTCTTGAAATATGTTGCCAAGCCCAGTGCTTGGGCTTGTAAGTGCATGCCGGTGGGGTGGCTGGCTCCCAGCTCCCCATAGCCCCAGGGAGGTGATGGATGGGTGGGTGTGTGGAGGGGGGGATGCTGGGGAAGGAAGGGGGGGGGGAATGGAATTGTGTTTAATAACAAAATTTGTATGCAAGCCTGCATCCCAGGCTAAGGATGAGTGATCGGCAGCCAGAAAGTATTAAAAAGCCTCGCTAAACAGATGCTGACAATAGAACAAGACATATCAAATCAGATCTACTTCAGAAGCATTAATATACACACGCACACACGCTCGCCCGCGCGCGCGCGCCCGGCTCCGCACACCCCGTGCTCCTTTCTTCTCAATCACAGCAATATGGGAGACATCAATAAATTTTTATGAGACTTTTAGAAGATCAACACGGTACTAGATGTGACAAAAAAGCAATGTGCCTGTCATGTTCGCTTTGTCGGGGACACTTTAGCCCCAGATGCCGAGCTGCAGTGCCAGCAGGGAGAAATTGAATTTGGCTGGCTTTAATCTGCCTTGATTTGGCAGATGGCTGGGTGTTATGAAATGAGCAGGGATGGAGGAAGGTGTTTTCTCCCAGGGCTATGGCCTCCCTCCTCTCCCAGCGCCACCGCCCTCACCCCCCATCCCAAAATGGGGGGAAACAGGCAGTTATCCGTTGCCATCAGGTCACCCTAAATGCTGCAGCTCTGCTCCTGGAGCAAGCGGCTGCGGTTCCTGAGGACCAGGGATCACACGCTGGGGTATCACCTCCTTCATAGCCCTGCTTCCCTGAGGGAATGTGCTGATGGATGCTTACTGGAGGATGCAGGATGTCCCCCAGGTCTGCTCCCCTGCTCTCAGGAGGTAGCACAGAGCAAAGTCAGTCCCTGCTGTACCCTGAGATGCAGCCCTGGCACCAGCTCCAGCCTGCATCCAAATGTGTGTGATGGGAAAGATTTCTATCCCCTCCCCATCTCCACCACTACCTTGAATCCCTCAGTCACCCAAAGTGTGAAACTTTATTTTCCTTTTATAACCCAAACACCAGGTTAAAAAAACCAACTCATTTCCTCCCTTTTCTTGTTAAAGGTGTTTAAAATTATTCTTTTTCGAGGGAAAGAGGAAGAATCTCATTAATTCCTCCCAGAAATGGTGTTTGTGCCAGGAAACTGCAATTTCCAGGATGAGAGTTTCTTTGGTCAGCTGAAGGCCAAGCTTCTGCTGTTGGGACAGATAAGGATGAGGACTGATTTAGATAACTTGACAAAGTTTACTTTATTCTATATTTGAAGGATTATTAAGAACCACCCCCTCCTTGCAATTTAGCCCCACTCTTACTAATAAGAGGTTGCAATTGGTTTTTATCTATTTATAGAGATTGGTCGGGAATAGGCACAAGCCCTGGTCATCCAAGTCCAAAGACCCTGGAGTGTAAGGGTGCTTTACTCCATCCCACTAAACAGCCCCCTGAATTACAGTGGCTGCAGCCCCCCGCACCTCTTAAGGATGCTGGCAGCAGGCTGAGAATCGAAAGGCCGTCAGCAAAGAGAGACCTTCCCCTCCATAAACACCGCAGACAAATTAAAAATGGTAAAAGGGAAATCAAGACCTTTAAAGTTCAAACACTTTTCGGTGCCTTTTAAAGTTTTTTCGCTCTAGGCCCTTGCAGACAGCACAATCTTTGGAGACCTTGGGATTCTCTTTAATCACCCAGCCAGGCTTCAGTGGTCTGAAATGATTACACATTTACATAGTAATAACCCCAACACTCCCCACATTATTTCATGGCTAGCATATTTCCACTCGGCGAGTGATCCATGTGTTTTAAATTATAACCTGTACATAGGAAATTAGTTACTAAGTACGATATTCACGGGCTCGCCTGACACTTCTAATTAAGGTGATTTACACAGAATTATCCTACGAAATAAAAAAATGGTGTTTTGCTAGCTAATAAAATATAATTACTACCCGCTTTTCTAAGTTACAGTTAGTTTTAATCTATTTGGGGAATTGTTTATCTAGTTCATTACAACAAAACAACTTCTTTCCCTTTTAGGCAACCCCCTCAAAGTACCAAAGATGACAAGAAATGCCCTGGAAAGACCCAGCAATTTGGGCAGCCTCCTTCTCTCTCTCCTGATAACTTTGCATCTCCAAGTGATACGAGGCTGCTTCCTCACTGGTTCCCTTTCTTGGGCTGAGACACAGGTTCTGGTTGTGCATTTGGGCATCCCCGTGTATTTGGGTGCCCTACACCTCTGTGAGGACAAAGCAAGGTCCCTGCTCTGGTGCTGCTGGAGCGCTCTGTCCATCCTTGCAGCTGCATCACCCTTAATGGGAGCTACATGGCCAGGTCCCCATGTGCCATCAGGTGCAAACCAGGGACCCATCACTCCTCTATATTAGGGCACATCAGCTTTAAGAGGATCATTTACTCTTAGCAAGAACCTCCACAATGAAAGCAAGGCTCAGGGTACACCACAGACATGCAGATGTCTTTTAACCCAAGGCAGAGATTTGGTTAGGAGCATCCCCAGATACAACTGGAAACCCCTGTGCATCTCCCTGAGTGAGCCCCAAGGGGCTGTTCAGACCCAGTCTATATGTCATGATGTCCCAAAGAGCAAAGGGTAGCTCAGCACACCAAATATGTGTCCTTCTTACCCACAGTCTTAGTGTTTCTCTCCCCCTGCCATGGTTGCTGTTGTACACAATGGCCTTCTAATGTCTTTATTTACTTTGTTGTATCTTTTGGGGTATGCTTGCCATAGGAAAGCAAAAGAAGCAACATGGAAGGAGTGGTCCCTTATCATCCCTTATTGTGTAGGAATCTCAGCTTTCCTCCAAAGGAAGGTTTTCTGGGTGCTCAAGTGAGGAGACAGGATAAGCCCTGCTCCCCCCTATCAGCTGCCAGAACCCACCATGCGCAGGCAGGGCTCTCACTCACCCCCAGCCCAGGCAGAAGGCTGGTGTCAGGCAGCTGCCCCAGGGAAGCAGGGACAGGAGCATTCCTCCTCTGTGCTCATTGCAACACACACAGAGTATCTATGCCAGGGCATCGCTGCAGCATCCCAGAGCAAGGGTTGGAAAGTTGTGTTGCGGTTGTGACCAGAGCCTGAGTGAGAAGACCAAGAGAGATGTGCTCAGAGGGGAAATGTGAGTACAGAACAGTGATGGGACTTGCCTGGAATCTCAGTGCAACAGTAAGGCCAGAAACAGCTCTGATGCTGCACTTCAGCCTTAGCTTAGGCTTCCCAAGCATGTTAAAACAAGGTTTCTGCAAAGCCCCCACTCAAGGCAAGGCAGGGCTTATGATGAGCATCCACCAAGGAAGGGCTGAGCTCTGTACCTGGCGTAGCAGCCACCCCCTGGCAGCACTGCCTGCATGCAATTAATAACAACTGCAAGAGAAGTTCCTTGAGCTTGGGCTGCTACAGATGTTTGTGCTCATCCCTTAATGACACTGCAGCCAGAAAAGGTGTAAAGAGGTGGTAAGAGGGCTGCTACCATGCAGCTGGTGTCTTCCAGCTCTGCAATTCTTCTACACAACTCTCAGCAGCCCCCTGGATTTGATGGGTACCACCCAGAGCACATGCAGCGCCTCCCACATGAGATTCTACAAAGCCAAAAGGTTTCTACGAGCTGCTGCCAACTGATATATTCCTTAAAACAAATAATAACCCAGTGGAAACAATTTGCTTTTAGCTGCAGGACTCGTGGCTTGAACACGCAGCCTTGGGATGGGAGCCCCGCAGCAAACCAAGCTTCCGGCAGAGCCATGTGGATGGCAGTGCCAGTTGTAAATAAGCAGTCGCTGGGTAAGGAGGGAATTGGCTTTTGTGAACACCAGTTTAAATAAGCAGAGGTGTCACTTGAAGCCTAAATAAGGAAATACGGGTTTGATATTTCATTTAACTACATGAGGCTAAATCTTCACCCAGCTGCAAGTGACGGTGCCCAGCATGGCCGGTTATGATCTGTGCTGCCAGAGGAAGCACGCTGCGGGTTTTAACTTGCTGTGGCTCATTTAGCATCACCTGCATCCCGTGATGGGGAAAGGGGCTGAGCAATGGTAAAGATTGCCAAAGATGCTGGAGTTGGGAGTAGATACACTCTGCACCTACAATGCAGTGCTTCCCAAATGCTCCCCCAGTCAGCATCTGTGAGACCAACATGGTCAGCTGTGACAAACC